AAAAGTAAAATGTTATTTTCGATCCTTTGAGTAAAATTTTGTAAAAAAACCAACAGAATATTTTAAACCAATTTGGTGGTTTTTAGACTTTTTTGAAAAAAATTTGGAGGAAAACGTGGAAAATTCATTTCTAAAAAATCACAACAGTTTTCACGAAATCACATGAAAATCACCAGATCTGGCAACACTTTTCAGTTGAATACTTGACACCAACCTGATAAAATTAAAACTTACTACAAAGACGCCAATTTCAAAGCGACTTTTGTTTTTCAGACGAACAAAAGACGGAGCACGACGTCGAGATCGAGAGCAGCATAATAAAAGAGATGATGGACATCGTGGCGAAGAGAGACTCTCTGATTGCCCTATTGGAAGAGGACAGATTAAGGTGCTTACCCCGACCGTCCACCAATCGTCCAATCCAACGTCTAGGAATCTCAGTTTTCGCATGCTTGCTTTTGCTTTATGTTTTGTGGAGTTGTGTCGTGCATTGGGGTCTTTCCAGATTTTTGTATTCTCTCGATTAACAACTTTTCGTTGCTTCCAATTTACATCTGCACGCAATTTAATGCCTTGTAGATTATTAGAGAACACCTATTCTCCTTGCGACAAGCATGTAGAATAGGTAAGGCATGTTTTGTATCTTTTTTAAACTAGATTTCAGTTTGGTTGTGTCTTGATCGTAGTATATTTGCAGGTATTCTAATGAAGATCGCGATTTTGAAGAGCAGATGCTAGCCAAGGGTTTGAGATTAACTCCGATTAGGAAAACTCCCGAAAAGTAATCGCTTTGGTATTAACATCACGTTTTTGGTAGGATAGGCAGGGTAAACGCGTTTTTCTTGTGTTCTTTCGATTTATTTTGACTACTTTTTTACACATTAATTTTTGTTTATTTCAATTAACGTCCATTTCTGCTAAATCACGTTAACTAGTCTTTTGTTATAATTTAGGATTTTAAGTGAATTAATATTTAAAAACATGAATTGTGATTGTGAATTGTATTTTGTAATAAGGAATTGTAAAGTACTGTACAAAGGGATATTATTTTGTGAATGCATTATAAGTGTTGTCTTTGTGTGAATAAATGCTTTTATACATCACGAAATGTGTCTGTCATCCTTACAAATTTACATTTACTACTACTACTAAAAAACAGCTCGAAATGCTTTGAAATTCAGCACAGTTTTATGGACTGAAGACGAATTTTAATTTTTTTAGTATACAGGTTGCGCCAGAACTCGCACCCCAGAGAAAAATGCCATATAAGGTTAGATACCAGGAACATGGAAAAAATGTTTAAAAAAATTATCTATAATAATTTCGAAGTTATGAGGGTTTAAAGTTTGCACTTTGACTATTTATTTCTGTTGGAAAAATAATTTTCCAAATTTAAAAAAATCGCGCACTTACTAAATGTCTTTTAGCACTCAAAAAGACACAATATAAATGTACGCACAGCCCCCATTTCAACACGAATTCGCACTGAACTACCAAATAATTTATCCGGACAAGTGATTCGTACGGGAGCTTGACTAAGACTGACCTGTTATTGTAATAATTTCCTCAAAAACGGCACAAAAACCATTTCGTAACAGTTCCGGTGTAAAAGGCCTTTGTTTGGAATATACAGGGTGTGCCAGAACTCGCGCCCAGAGAAAAATATAAGGTAAGATACCACGATACCAGGAACATGGAAAAAATGTTAAAGTTTGCACTTTAACTCTATTTATTTTTGTTGGAAAAATAAATTTTCAAGTTTTTTTTGCTATAGGCTATTAAAAGAGGAAACAAGGAAGCTGTATCATAAATCGTAACTCTGTTCAATGTTATTTGTAGCTTTTATTGGTAAAATTTTTGTCCCTTTACTAAACAATTGTAAAAAAAACATACAAGATCATCAGTATCATTAAATAGATATAAAAAATGTCAAATGTCAAAAAATAAATGTAAAAATTTTTTGACAGATAGAATTTTTTAAACATTTTTTTCATGTTCCTGGTATCTTACCTTACTTGAAAATTTTCTCTGGGGCGCGAATTCTGGCGCATTCTGTATAATCCCGCCCATTTGCAACGTCACAAAGTAATATTACCCAATCTCACGTCACCATTTTTTACGCCCTTTACACTTGTTTCATTATCGCGTAATTTAAATCTGATTGGATGAATCACAAAACTTTAAAAAAATTGAATGGCTTCAATTTTGAGAGGGGAATACTCAGTAAAAGTTCGTGTTTGGACGTGGCCAATCACATGCAAGCATCCTGACGTCATGTTAGGCAAGTCGGAGGATTGTTTATCATACGACTAAAAATCAGTTTGTTGTGTAAACAAGTGCAAAAAATGGTGACAGTGGATGTGTTTTTGATAAAATGTTTTATTTCCCAAATCCATTTAGGAAAATTTGTAGAAAACAAGTGCAAATTTACTTTTAGGATAATTTTAACCGAAAACTTGGAGCTTTCATCTACAGTATGTCCCCGGATTGGGTTTTCAATAGGAAAAATTTTTTATCTTTGATTTTACGCCAAAACTGCAAAGGAAAAAAAGTTTTTGCTTTACTTGAAACCAGCAAATCAATTAAAACTTCATTATTCACTCAGTAGAAAGAAAAATTAATTTTTCTCTTGATTTTGAACTTGGAATAATTTCGTAAAAAATGAAAAAAACTACCATCATTTATCGTGGATTCTCTTTTATTCAATTTTCTAACATTACAAATTCATCAGAACAAAAAAAACAGTATCATAAGCACAATATATCACTATCACGTAAACATTGTTTAAAAAAATACAAGTGTAGATTGTTACATCTATCCCTAAGAAAATAATAAATTAAACTGGATGTAGATTACCTAGTAAAAAAACCTTTTCTTGAAATGTAATAATAAACCCACAAAAATAACAACCAGTGATACAGTGATGATAGTAATAATAGGATAATATAATGGTTAAGTGAGACTATATTTATCCAATATAACATTACTGTGTCTTAAAATAAGTCGAAGCGTTTGGAAACCTCTCGGGGGTAAAGTCTTCATTATCTCTGAGCGCTGTCTGAACTGTCGTCCTGAGCAAACTCCTGTAGGCGGCTTGAACATCCACCGACTCGCCTGCCCCCTGAGACACCATCTCCACCGGCGCCACCGAGGACAAACCCGTCGCTGTTACGGCCCGTCTCACACTCTCTAAAAATAAACAAATACAAAAAAAAACTGAGACATAAATAAAACAAACCTGCTATAACTTGTGGAAGACTCCCTTGCGGCTTCGTACTATTGACAATTTTACGCCTTTTGGTTGGCATTCCTGATAAATACGCATCACTGAACGGCGGTTGTGGGTTCTGTCGTCGCTGTCTTTGCACATCTCTGGTAATAATCGGCACCCAATCTTCGGGTACCTGACTGTGCCAGGGTTCCGAACCTAGCACTATATTTGGTACGGGTTCGCTATCATCACTTAGCGACAAGGGGGGCAAGTCTACAGAAGTCTCGGCTTCGTCCAATTCCATATTCTAGAAATGGAATTTTAAATATTAAATTAAATTAAATCAAAACAAAATCAGCGCAAAACCTCGACGTCCTGTGTTGTATTCCTAACTTCAGTTTGTACAGTCGGGTCGGGAGGTGTGGCCATTGAAACATCCGTATTTCTCACAATATATGGCTCAACTTCGCTTCGATCAATCCCTAAATTGGCCATAAAATGGTGGAGATTCGCACAACTGGTGATCATCGTCCAGTTTTGGAGCTCAGTCGGGATGCCTTGCATATACGATGTCTAAAAATAACAATAAATTTCATTCAATTTCAACAAAAATTGCTCACTAACTATAATCTGTTGGAACGTTTCTTCGACCCCTTGTTGGCCATTGGCACTTGCTGTTAGTGTCAGTGCACACATCATTTTCGCTAACATTAAACACTGATCGACAAAAGTTCGCATATTTGACGAATTTAAATTCGTTGCAGTCGTGATTATATCCGGCAGTCTTCTTCTAAAAAGCGTTTCCACAGATCTAACAATATCTATGTCGTCGTTGACCCTCAATCGACTCTATTTAAGAAAAAAACAGTCAAGAAAATTCAAAATTTGTCACTCAAACTTACAAAATTTTGGAAAAACGGCTGCATTTCATTTATAAACCTATCAACGCCGGCATTTACAGCTTGAGGGGTATTCGTACCATCTAGAACCCTTGTAGTGAAAAACTGTTGTATTTCGTTGGTGACTCGATTTAGAGGCTCAAAATTACCGGTGTTTAATGTAATCATGTCACTAGCAAAATTTCAATAATTAGTTTTTTTTTTATCACAAGAATTGTTAAACTTACACTATGGTCAAATTTCGTGATAGTAACATTATAAGATCGGTGATGATACTCTCGCCGGGATTTTCCTGTGATTCATCGAGAGGTAACTGTTGCAAAATATCGGCGATTGTTGGGCCTTGCAACATGTTGGGCAGATTGACCTAAAGAAATAACGCATATTTTCATATTTAATTAAATAACTAACCAAAGTGGACTTTGACTTTAAAATTAAGTTGGCAACCTTGATTTAACCGTCACCTGAAACATTCTGATATAACAAATTAGAAGAACTACCAATAATTCAGTGTCACCAATAGATTTTTTTGTCACAAAGATTAATAGTTACCCATCTTCTGTCCATGCATAATTCAATATTGCCAACTTAATTTGAAAGTGACAGGTCACTTTGATCAGACATTCATTATTTATTAAATAAAATCTAAAATAAAAAATGTCCGTCAGAAAATAAAAAATGAAGATGCTCAAAATAGTTATTTATGTTACAAGGCCGTGAACTAGGACTTTTTTTATGAGAATGAATATTATTTGTCGAGGCGAAGACCGAGAAAATTTTTTGTGCAACTGTGAAAAATTACCAAAATTAAAGTTTCGATCGAAAAAATAAAACGTAATAAAATATTAAAATTTCATAAAGAAAAAAAAGACAGTACTGCTCTTGCTACAACTAGCTTTCTAACATTATTTAAAATTTTAAATGAAATAAATTGCGCCTCTACTAATGCTACTGCATCTTCCTCTGGTAAGAATGTAAATAATGCTAGCGGTAGCACATTCAATTTTTATTTTAATAATTAAGAATCTTTTGTTCAGTATTATTATACAGGGTGAATATAAAGTATGGAACCAAGCGGTTTTTATTTTTAATCATTTTCCTCCAGCAAATAATAATTAATATAAATTACAGTAATATAAAAAATGTGATCGTATTTTCAGAACGAAATTTTGTTTTGTTTTTGGGTTGTGCGATTTTTTTTGTCAAAATTTGCAATTTGTGTAAAAATTTTTTTGAAAAAATTAAATATAAAGCGGATAGTTGTAATCCTTATAGTATAGCTTTTATGAGAAAAATGATTTTATAGTGGGTTGAGATTTAAAAATTTTTTTTTTTGTAGAACTCAAAAACAGAAAGAAATTTCGAAAAATTTTATTCTTGTTAAATTATCATATTTTTATAGTAGTTTATCACTCATCAATTAGTTTTTTCAAAAAATAAATAGTTTAGGCAAAAAATGTTTGGTTCCATACTTTTTATTCACCTGGTTTGTAATCACATATTAATAAATAACGTTCGAATTATCTAATAAAAGTTAATTTCATTCAAGATCAAAAAATCTTTGTCGGCGGGTTAAAAAGTGTTTTTTTTACGTTGTCAAGGCTTTATTTTACTGTAAACAAAGTGCTATTTCACGACTCAAAATCAAGCAAAAAAAGTGACTTTTTGACAGTTGCACACAAAAATTCTTGTAAGACTCGATTAGGTGATTTTTGGCTTATTTTTGCAAAATTGTATCAAAAAAGTGAATTTCCAGCAAAAAAAAATAGTTTTTTTGCTCAAAAAAGTGCTTAAAGTCTAATAATATGCAATTTTTTGACCAAAATTGTGAAAATATGTGAAAATGTTTGTTCACAATAAATAAAGCAAATTCCTGGACCAAAACTATGATTAAAAGTTCATTAAAGGCAGAAATAACGTCATCTTTGAGCAAATTTTGTAGTTTTTCGGACAATTTTAAAAGAAATTAAATATTTAACAGGGAAACGTGCCTGAAAACTAGTAAAAGACAAATGTAACGTCATTTTTGTAGTAAATCTCAAAAACTCTAAACTTTTAATTGAATGCAAAGTTAAATTGTCTTACGAAATGTCTTTCCAAACGCGACAACAAGTTGGCAAAGGAAGACGGACCCGCCTCTGCCGTAGCCCCGCCTTCACTTCCCGATGCTTGTCCTGTCAAACTTCCAGCTTCTTCTCCACTTCCTTCCGACTGTCCCTCACTTCTCGCTCCACCTCCTGTTGCATTATTCCCCTCCCGCCGTCTCCTATACGCCGTCCTCAACGTCGAATAAATCTCATCAAACAAACTATGCAAATTCTGTGACGCCGCCCTCTGCTCTCCTCCCTCTTCACTCTCGGGCTGTCTCCCTTGCTGCTGCTGCTGCTGTCTAACGGTAGGCGTGGCTGTTGCTTGTTGCGCCCGCCTTCTATGTGTCACGTGATGTGAATTACATGGTAGAAATGGATCAAATCCGCCTTGCATTGCCTGCTGAGCAAGATGGACGTGGGGGCGGGGCGTCGACCGTGTATGTGTGGCTGTTGTCGGATTGGTTTGGGTGTTACCACGCGCTTGGGAGTTTTGACCGGACGCTGTTTGTTGAGAGGGCGTAGCTTGACTCGACTGGGCGGAGTCGGCCGATGATGACGGCGAGGTTGTCGTCGTTGTGTTAGTATCAGATGTGGTTGCTGTTGTGGTAATACGATTCATTATCTGACCGGCCATTTGGACCAATGATTGAAGAAATTCCGGTGGTGGACCATTTAAGGTACCTTGCAAAACTAGTAAAAAAAATTTTTTGTTCTTTGTTGTTTTTTCTTCAATATTTACCTTCCGGTGTTACTTCCATGAAAAATTCAACACTGGAATTATTCAAGTTGGGCATATTGAATGTTGAGCTGGTTGAGCTTGTGGGGGCTGTCGTAGTAGATGGAGTCCTATTTTCAGACGCCCCCACTGTATTATTATTATTATTTTGGGTCCTCTGTGTACTGTGCACAACATTGACAGGTCTAGCAGTCGTACGAACCTCAATCGGAAACGACTGCACTCGCATCGAGGCGGCTGGAATAAACGGAAATCCCCTAAAAACAAAAATATTTCAATCGCGTAAAACCCCTAATTTACTTATTTACCTGAAATTAACCGATGGTTGTGGGGCCGAGGGCGTAGTCCTTGCGCCCCCATCGCCGGCATTCGTCGTCGAAGTTTCAGTGTTTGTAGTGGCAGTACTGCTTGTCGTTGAAGCATTGGGGCGTTCCGCCAAGTTGAACTGCGCCTTTACGGTGGGAAGAAAACATCAAATATCACAAAATCCAAATTTTGAAAACAATTCCGGTTACTTACTACCTCGACTTGAATCGGTATTCCGGCTTGAACCACGGCTGAATGCTGGATCAGGATTGGACGACAAAGAAGTGGGCGGGGCGGAGGTGTCCGTACACGAATTATTATATCGCTGAGCGAGTGGTAGGCGTGGCCTAGGAAGTGGAGAACTTCGGAGACGCGAGTCAGCATCGCCTGGGTTTGACGCACGTTCTGAACAACAAAAAAACAAATTACAATATTGTGAACATTTTTTGTTATAATTCAAACACGGGTTTTAGTTTTTTTTTACTATATTTTTGTGTTTCATTGCAGTTTCTATTTGTTTAAATACAGGAAACTGTGATTTAGTCTAAAATCCTTTAAATCGCCTTGCACATTTAGTTCGAGAAGGATATTTGTTATTAATTTTTGTAATTTTGTTTTATTATTTTTTTTAATGAACCCAATCATTAGGGATATGTTTTTTATTTAAAAGAAACTTTAATTTAATGTAACATAACTTAAAATAGCTTTGTTTATTTTAAAAAACTAGTCAAAAGTAGCAAAAACTGGAAAAATTTGATATTCCAAGAAAAAAACAACAATAATGGATAATTATTAAAATGATATAAAAAAAATATAAATCAGAACAATTTTCATTGTTTTTTTCTTATTTTGTCTAATTTGAATTATAGGAAACTGTAATCATAAAATTTTCTTTTTCTCTCAATTACATAATTTTTTGTTAAATTCTGGCCATTCATTTTTTGGTGGTTCACAATAATTTGCCAAATATCTGACTTCTATGGATATACAGGATGTGCCAGAACTCGCGCCCCAGAGAACATTCTTTGTTCTAATTCAAACTCGAGGTTAAGTTTTTTTTACTAATTTTTGTTTTTTATTGCAGTTTATATTTGTTTAAATACAGGAAACTGTGATTTGGTCTAAAATCCTTTAAAGCGCCTTGCACATTTAGTTCGAGAAAGATATTTGTTATTTACTTTTTGTAATTTTGTTTGATTATTATTTTTTAATGAACCCAATTATTAGGGATACGTTTTTTATTTAAAAGAAACTTTAATTTAATGTAGCATAACTTAAAATAGATTTGTTTATTTTAAAAAACTAGTCAAAACTAGCAAAAATTGGAAAAATTTGACATTCCAAAAAATAAACAATAATAATGGATAATTATTAAAATGATATGAAAAAATATCAATCAGAACAATTTTCATTGTTTTTTTCTTATTTTGTCTAATTTGAATTATAGGAAACTGTAAACATAAAATTGTCTTTTTTTCTCAATTACATCGTTTTTTGTTAAATTTTGGCCATTCATTTTTTGGTGGTTCAAAATAATTTGCCAAATAACTGACTTTTATGGATATATAATTCAAAATATTACTTTTACGAAATTAAAATTGCGTAACATTGTTAGTTTTTAAAATTATTTTCAAAAAGTTAGTCTTAAAATTTTGGGAAAACCTAGTGGGATACCGATGATTTGATGTCTTATTTGAGATTTTATAAAAAAAATCACATATGCTATTTTTTTTTCATATACACAACTAATTTGACATTTGATATTTTTTTTCTTAAACAATTTGTGAGAAATTTTCACCGGTATAGTGAAATAGTGTAGCGATTTTTTAACATACTTCCTGAGGGATAATGGGGTCTTCGACCATGAAATGGCGGTAGCGTTCCAAAAACGGTGCAAATCGTGTTTGGAGCTGATTTAGAGTTGTCAAAAGTTCGGCCATTTCGGCCGTCCGCCAAGCGTTCCTGAAACAAGTCACACACAAATAGAAACCTGCATTATCGACATCTTTATTGAACGATAAAATTTCACAATCAAACTCACTCTGCCAAACTTCTAGCACTAACTCCGCCATTTCTTTGCTCGCCACTCGTCCCTTCAGCCGCCGTCGACGGTGTGGGTTCTTCAGGCGTCGACGACGCCGATCTTTCAGCAGGTGGCGTTTCAGAAGCATTCTGTGAGCCACCACTTCCATCTATGGTGACTTCGGCCGCCATTGGTCTAAAGTTAACATAATTTCATGGTACAAAATCAAAAAATAAAATAAAACAAATTACATAGAGCCTGAAGCGGCATCAAATAGCGTGTTTTGGACCGCTGACAAAACCATAGCCTCGTCGATGGAATCGCTATTACCAGGGGGGACTATGACCCGAGCCTCAATTATGGGGGTCACTTCCTCTTCTTGTTGTTCTTCAGACGTGGTTTGCTCGCTGGGGCGGGCCGAAGGGTTCTCTAAAAGACTTATAACGGCCTCAGCGCGTCGTAACATCCTAAGAAAAAAAAAATTAACGAAGTCTTAGGAGACATTTGTCGTTACCTTCGGGCGACATTGAGGCGGCTCCCGGCCAGGGAATGCGTCGGGGGCGGCGGCACAATCCCCTGCGACTCCATCAAATTCGAGGGAAACGCCATGGACCCCAAATACATGGTGTTCTCAGTGTCAAAACCCCGGAAACCGCGCCGAGGAGGCTGTGGTGAAGCAGATCGCGTAGTTGGGGGGTTTTGACTAGGGGGCGGTCTCTGCACCAAATGCACGACTTTGCCATTGACATCTGAAACCCACAATTAGCCCCCTGGTTCCTCAGAATCACCCTCACCATAATCGCCCAGTTTTGCCTCATCTTGCAACACACGCCCACAGTAAATTATGCGTTGAGTCTCGGCCGGGATATTGACAGTATCTGCAATTTTCGTTTTGAACTGCTCCACGGTGATCTGAAAATAACGAGCAATTAAACTGAATCAGGGCTGAAATAATACTTACATCATCATCAACCGTAAAAGTGTGGTTCTGGGAATCAAGGGTCTTCACCGTCAAAACAATCATTTTTCTGGAATGTCAGCTTGTTTAGTGGGTGATTTTTTCATCAACTACGCATTAAAACCGATTAATTGTTCAGGAATGTTGAAGTCAAGGGGGGTTGTCCTACCTGAAATTTGCGGTCTTCACAACATCTAGAACGGCGAACCGTAACAATTCGAGTGCGAATAACACAAATTTGGACGTTTATTTCACCTCTGATCGAGTTTTTTCCCAAAAACACACCTCTCACATCAAAATGACGGATCGACTGACGACAGGACCCAATCGTAAAAATCCCTAAACTTGGAAATAACCGGATTAATTCATGTGGCTTTTACAACAAAAAATTCGACGATTCGAGGGCAAATAACACAAATTTGGGGTTTTGGGACGTAGATTTTGCATTTTTTTTCCTCCAAAAACCCTGAGTCCAGGACGTGATTGAAAATCCCTAGAAAAAAACTAAACAAAGCAGCGCTGCCAACTGGATGATTTGTTTGGATTGTTCTAGTTCGTTGTGATTATTCTGAAACAAAGCCTCCAAATGGCCAATGTTATCGAAGTGAAACCCAAAATACTCGTGTTTGATTTAGGTCAGTAACCGTGTGTTGTTGTAGGTGATCGATTTTACAGTAAAACATATTTCCAGATTACACACTTTGGCCGTTTTGGGTTGACACACATGTCATTCCCCCCTTTCGTAAAACGTGAATATTTTCCAATTTGCGTGCGTTTTGTGGTAAAATTGCGTGTTTCAGGAACGACGGTTGCGTCATAGACCAATTTGGAAGTAAAATTCAATACTACAATGACGTTCCAGAACTTTTACAGGAATTGTATCTTGAAGGTTATATTCTAGCAGTGGCGTCTCGTACCAGCGAGGTCGAGGGGGCCAGACAACTTTTGGATCTGTTCGGATGGACGAAGTATTTCTCGCATTTGGAAATCTTCACGGGGGTGAAGACCAAACACATCACGAGGTGAGCAAAATTTTGACAAACCCAAAATAAATCGATTTTTTTTTCAAGGATAAAAAACAAGTTTGATGTGGAATACAGCGAAATGATTTTCTTTGACGACGAAAGCAGGAATATAAGAGATGTGAGTAAACTGGGGGTGCTTTCGATCCTTGTTAACAACGGGATATCGAGGAAAGTGGTTGATGATGCTATAGAGCAATTTACGAAACAATCTAAAAGAAAGTAGGATGCTAGGGATATTTTTATAATCAATTGCTTGTGTTAGGGAGTTTTGCACCAGCCTGATTCATTACTTAGAGTAAAGTGTACAATTGTGTTTCTACTTTTGTTAAAGAAAGAATTCAGTTTTATTATTTTATTTATGTAATAAAATATGTTCCATTGAAGTGCGTTTTCATGTGTTTGTCTCTATAATATTTGAGAGTGTACTCCTTATCACAAATGTTGCACTTGTGCTTCACGGTGTGATTATTAAGGATGTGTTTTGCAAGATTGACAACTTTGGAGCCACAAATGAGGCAAGCGTTGGGATTGTTCTGACGCTCACGGTGGGCATGTAAATGCCTCTCTAATTGAAACCTCGAAATTTCACGATGGCAAATGTTGCAAGTTTTTGTGCTGGAATTGACTGCCCTGTTGACAATCTTAACTGTGTTGACTGGTTTTTCAGCAAGAAACGAGGTTTTTTTTGTAATTTTTTTCAAACGTATATTTGAAAAGATTTTCTTAATTTCTGGAGGAGTTTCGCCCAAAAGAAGGTCCATGTGCGAATCATAGAACTCTTGGAATTTATTTCTAGAGTCGTCATTGGAGGAATCTTTATCATATAATTTGATCACATTTTCATTGTCCACTTCGTCACAAGATTCCTCTGTTGCCATGGTTTCTTTACATTTGGTCACATCTTCATCACAAGAGTCCTCTGTTGCTATAGTTTCTTCACATTTAATAAAGTTATTGATGTCGTCACTAGAGTCCTCTGTTGCTATGATTTCGTCATATTTGAGCATTTCTTCGTTGTCCATGACGTCAGAAGAGTCCTCTGTTGCTATGGTTACCTCATATTTGATCACTTCTTTATTGTCCATGACGTCACAAGAGTTCTCTGTTGCTATGGTTTCTTCATATTTAATAACATCTTGAATGTCAAATTCCTGGGTTTCAAGAGGCTCTTGTTTAATTCTTACTGAAAGCAATTGCTCATTTTTCTTAATTTTTTGTTGAAAGTTGTATGCCATTTTTAAGTTACGAGAACATTTTACACATACTACGTTTGAAATGCCATTATCAAGGCTAACCTAGGAAAAATAAATTTAACAAATGGGTCACTGAATACTTGTCTTACTTTGTTTATTAATGCTTCAATCATGTTGAGGATGTTTCTCTCGAAAATGCTGTAGTAAACAGAGGACTTTGAAAGGCACAAGCGACAGATGCTGTTCATTTGATCCATTTTTTAATTAATAATACGAATAGTAAACATAACCTCACTAATTTTGACAAAAAGAAAGAACAAGGATAGAGTTAAACAACTCGTCCAAAATTATGCAATCTACAATACACTTGTGCACAACAATAGTACTAAAAAAGGGGCGTTTTTGGCCACTGGAATCTAGTGTAACACAGAATTCTTTTTCTTTATACAGGATTATTCATAAATATGAAGCAATATTTGAACCTCAAAAATGACCCATAAAATGATGTTAATTTAAATAATAACTCGTGTCCTATCTCTACTGATAAAAATTTTACAGCCCTCGGAATGTGGGTATGGAAATTTGATTTTTTTGTAAAAACTTTAGAACTATTTGATCAAATATTATAAAATTTGGAACATTTTCTTATGACAACATACCCTTTGAACTGGTAATCACGAAAACCGGATACATCCACTCAATTTCCTGTTCCAGCAGTTGCAGGTCACATTTTCTGTGTTTTTCCATTTTTTTGCTCTCTTAACACCAATTTTTTATTTCCTAAATCGATAGAGTAATCAATTTCGAATAAAAAACGCATATCTTTAATGCCCCTAAAATGGACCGTTTCAAAGATATTTTAATTTAAACTGAGGACTGCACAACGCTGAAATCAGAAAATAGGGATTTTGAATAAATGATATCCACAGTAACCAATGACCATGGTCACATGAATCCCTGGCAGGCATCTGTTAACTTTGTCGATAAATTTTTGTGAATTTTTTATAAATTAAATGCTACGAGATCGATTTCGATTTATTGTAGATTACGTTTGGAGTCTGAAGTAAACTCTTTTATTAAATATTTTCAATTAATCGCCCAAGAATCGTCCAATGTCAAAGTTGACAGTGCCTGACAGCGATTTGTGAGACCATGGTCATTTGTTGCCATGGATATCATTTATTCAAAATTCCTACTTTTTGATTTCAGCGTTGTGCAGTCCTCAGTTTAAATTAAAATATCTTTGAAACGGTCTATTTTAGGGGTATTAAAAGTTGTGCGTTTTTTATTCGAAATAGATTACTCTATCGATTTGTGCAATAAAAAATTTGTGTTAAAAGAGCAAAAAAATGGAAAAATACAGAAAATGTGACCTGCAACTGCTGGAACCGGAAATTGAGTGGATGTATCCGGTTTTCGTGATTAACAGTTCAAAGGGTATGTTGTCACAGGGAAATGTTCCAAATTTTATAATATTTGGTCAAATAGTTCCAAAGTTATTACAAAAAAATCAAATTTCCATACCCATATTCCGAGGGCTGTAAAATTCTTATCAGTAGAGATAGGACACGAGTTATTATTTAAATTAACATCATTTTATAGGTCATTTTTGAGGTTCAAATATTGCTTCATATTTATGAATAACCCTGTATAAAAAGTTAAAATTTGTGACATATTTGACTCTAAAAAATGTAAATGTAACGTTGTTTTTTTAATAAAGGTTTAAAATTAAATTTAGAACTAAACTTTAAAAAAAACCGTCATTCAACAAATAAAAAGCTCTAAAACAATCACATTAAAACACAAAACCCTGTAAAATAGTGCCTTGTACATACAACAGAGCTCATAAAAAAGATATTTTATTCTTCGACACTGTCAAAATTTACGGTTTTTCTCCCGTGTAAGGAAGTCTTGACAACTGTTTGGCATTTCTCAATACAAAACGTCAAATTATTTTTAACAGATTTAAAGCAAGTTTAAGCCTTGTTAACTCTAATACGAAGAATAAAATGTTGTATTCCACTCGTTTGAGTGTAAATCGGACGCTTTATTCCACCTCGTGGATGGTAAACCACTCGTTACACTCGTGGTTTAAAAATCCACTCGGTCAAATAAAGAGTCCGATTTACACTCAAACTCGTCGAATAAATAACTGTCGTCACTAAATCGTTTAATTTTGTTGAAAAAAATTTTATTTGGAAAAACATTAATACTGTTAAGTATATTACAATTGTAATTGTTTATAAAAAGAGAAAATTATGTGTATATTTTAAAAAAAATGCGATAGGCAACTTTTAATACAACAGAGAAAACATTGCCTACTTTTACTACCAGTTAAAATCTGCAGTGATAAATAACCCTAAATTCATTAAAGTCCAGTGTGCTTTTATAGATAGCCATAAACGACTTCCACTGAGAGACGTTAATAAACGTATTATAAACGCAAATTAGAAAAAATAATTTGTTAAATTATGCTGCTGGCATAAATTGTTTCGAAAAATCAACGCCAACAATAAATTTCAACTAAAACTTTCAAATTTTAGTTTAAAATTTTATTTTAATTGACAATAAAGCATGGCTTAAATTATTGATATTTTTTGAACTGACATAAATTTGTGTCTGCAATTATAGATTGAAAAAAAGCGAGAAATTTTTAAAAAGTTTTTATTGAAAAGTAAAAATTTTTTGGATTTTTGAAAAATTTTGAAAAAATCCCTTTTTTTCTTTTTGTCAAGAAAATCCCTAGAATTAGAGAAAAAAATTCTAGTCTGGCATCACTGCGCCGATGCCACATTTGAGATATTGAGGTTAGGTTTCCGCAAACCGCGTGTTCAAGAAACGCGTAAACAAGTATTTTTTTATTTGGAAAAGAAAACATAATGGGCAGACCAGGTGAGTTCAGTTAATTCGGGGAAATTTTAACACAATTAAAAACCAAATAGGATTCTCGCCGGGTGGTCGAGGAGGAGGTGGTCGTGGAGGC